GAAAAGAATCAAATGGTAAAGAGTGAAAGGGATAATTAAAAACATCTTGGAAGGGGGTCAAGAAATTAACAGCCTAACATGAATAAACTTTGATTACAAGTAACAATTATTACACTTCATTTGTAAATGCTCGTGTTTATCTGCAAACAAAATCAGTTTCAAGTCTTTTTTTTTTAACTAGATTCATATTACATTTTTCAGCGGGTGGCTACAGGGCTCGTTAGCGCTCAGGGTAATTTTTAAGTGCACTGCTGGTGGAGCCCCGGTCCTCCCACACCCCGTGCTAGGCACAGCAGGCCCAGCCCTGCCCGCGGTGGGAGCCCGTGTCGCCTGCGGGTCGCAGCCACACCAGCAGCTCCTGCTAATTAAAGTTAGTCATTGCCACTTGCGGCCACCACCTACTGATTTCACCTCTGATAGAAAGATTCACCTTTCAGGACAAGGTCAGCAGGGGCAGAGACTCTGGTTCACTACAGGGTTGACCTGCCAACAGCAGTTATCTCAGCTCTACAGTTCAACCTCCTCCAGATTTGACCTGTCACATTTGGGAGCCACGTTTCTGCCCCAGGTAGCGTTGTGCTCGCTGCAGAGCCCTCCAACAGCTAACGGCAGTGCACGCCCCACTGCAGTGCCCCAGCACGGATGTGCGAGTGGGACTGGCCAGGGCGAGGTCGTTTGTAGCCTGGCATTGAAGCAGGACCATGACAGAGATCCAGGGGACAGGAAAGCCCCCCAGAGCCTTTCCAAAGGGACTCTGTCCTCGTGCCACATTTCTGCCCTCGCAGGTCAAGCAGCTGCTGGTTCTTCACACTGAGGACGCCGCGCCAGCAGGCCCAGCATGCACCAGAGGGACAAGGTGGATGGTTTCCCCCGCTGCTTCCATGCAGGACGCATGACAGTGGGGAGCAGAGGTGAAGCTGAAAGAGCTTATAAACACGCTGTAGTGGAGCAAGGGCCTGGGCCCAGCTCTCTGCTCTCTGTGCAACAGGACTCACGTCATTTTGCACAGGAGAGAAATACCCTGTGTCTCAGCGAGGCAGGTGGTACTCAAAAGCCGCCTAAAAACATGCCCTCAGCACCCAGGCTTTAGCCCCAGGCATCACCCTCTGGCTGGACCCACAGAGCTGCTGTCCTGGCACCTTTCCCTGGCAGAGTTAGGCTGTGGGAAGCTGCCTCTGTCACCTTGCAAATGCCCCCTCTGCAATGTGAACAGCATCATTGGGAACAGGGGACTTTCTACCACAATTCAGACATATTCAGAAATGTCCATTTTCCAAATGTTTATTCCCCAAAGCCCCCTCCTCTGCTTCAGTCCGATCCCTCGGTCAGGCTGCAGCTGGGGAGCACGTCCTGCAGCGACCCCAGAGCAGGGCTTCATGGCAGACCCCAAGCAGCAGCGCAGTGCTCAGGCACAACGTACACAGCTACTACTACTGGGTGAATAAGACATGTCCTCTTTGTGCCAGCTCTAACGGGAAGTGCAGGAATGAGATTAAATATGTACAATAAAAACCACTTTACACCCTATTATTCTAGCTACAGCTGATGCCGTGGATTGGGCAGCCCTGGCTTGAGTTTTCCTGCAGAGCCCACCTGTCTTCCCTCTTTTCACTAAAAAGCTACAGTGTGCAGGATGTTCAGCCTGCCTCTCCTATAACACACCCACAGGAGAAAACCCCGTGACAGAAAAGCTCTGGGAGCCTTAGCTGTGGGGCTGGGTGTTTTGCTCCCCATCCACAGTGGCTGGAGACCTGTGTGGGGCAGGGGCTTGCTGAGGCCCCATGGGGGATGCTCCCCGACGACAGCTTCAGGGGGTTTTGTCCCCGGGCTGGGGCTGAGGCTCACCCTGATGCTCAGGGGTACGACTCTGCAGGACCCTCCCTACCGGCTTGCACACCAGAGGGGAAAAATAAAAAGACCTTTGGAGCTTTGCCCTGCAGTGACCCAGTGCCATACCCAGCCTGGGGCAGCAGAGACCTGGCCCCGGCAGCCATGGAGGGGCATCGACACCGGGGCTGAGGAGGGCAGCGTACCCCTGGCTCAGGCCTCGCTGCCGCGGCCGGGCTGCAAGGGGCGGAAGTAGAGCTGCAGCCCATCGTCGACGGGGTGCACAATGGGCACGGTCTGCATGGCAGGGTAGCCGGGGGTGGCCAGCTCCCAGCGGGCCGTGCTGACCAGCTCGATGGCCAACAGCTTGAGGATGGCCTGTGCCAGCTCCTTGCCGATGCAGCTCCGCACCCCGCCGCCGAAGGGGATGTAGTGGAAGCGACCCGCGGCCTCTGTCTGGGCGGCACCGAAGCGGTCTGGGTCGAAGCCGCCGGGAGGGCGCTGGGAGGTCTCATGTGTGTCACGGATGCTGTACATGACGCTCCAGCCTTTGGGGATCTGGTAGCCCTGGGGGGAGGAGAGAAGAGGGGAGGCGAGCAATGTTACATACCTGTGCAGCCGGCCCTGCTAGTGGAGGGTGAGCAGAGGGTGCCTGGGGACAGCCCCACCACATTGCCCACCTGCTCCCCAGCTCCTTTTCTCCCCAGCCTAGCTGGGACCCACGGAGATGCCGGGGTGCCGCCTCCCCCTGAGCGACACTGCCAAGCGCCATGACTGTGCCAGATACAGGGTGCCTGCAGGCAGTGGCAGGCAGCAGCTCCCTAGCAGCCCGTCGGCGTGTGAGGCACTTACATCCAGCTCGAAAGTCTGCAGCGCTGTCCTGTAGCCTCCGGAGACGGGGGGCAGCACCCGCAGCACCTCCTTAATCACACAGTCCAGGTAGCGCAGGCGGCTCAGCTTGTCCAGGCTGATGTCCGAGGAGCAGCCACAGCTCTGCCCTGATGGCGCCCGGAGCGGGGGGTCAGCGCAGGGACTGCTCTGGGGGACGGTGGGCTCCGGCAGGGTGTGGGGCTGGGTGGAACCTTCCTCCGTTGGGCCCGGGAGCTGGCTCTGGTCCTCGCGAGCATCTCTGGCCGTGGGGCGAAGTGGCTTCTTGCTGTCCCTGCTCTGGGTGGTTAGGGTGCCGGGGCAGGGTCCCGCAGGGCAGCGCTCACACTGCTGGCACAGCTCGTGAGACACCAGCTCCTGCCTTATTTTTTCAATCACTGAGGGGTGTTTCAGTAGCAGGAGGATCAGAGAGGTGCTGGCACTAGCCGTGGTGAAAAAAGCAGCAAATATGAGCTCAATCGCTGACTCCTGGGAGAAAAAGGAAGGTGACATGTTTGAATGCCATTTTAAACCAGTTGTGATTTAGACTGTTCTGACCTTTTGCAGGTTTTGTCCCTGTGCAGAGGGCCCTGGTCCCCCCTCTACTCTCCACAAACCTGCACCTGCCCTGGGTTGGCAGGGACCAAAACAAGGCGCCCAGGTTCTTCCATTTCTGTACGAACTGGATATCCACTTGGCAAGTGACTGATGCAGAAACACAACTGGGATGAGTACACATCACCTCCAATCCAGCTTTTCTGAGCTTTCCTCCCAAGATTTAAAAATTTTAAAGCAGCATTTTAACATGCATTTTAGCATAGTGAGTGAAGTTCATTTCAAGCATTATGCTTTTTACCTTCATCTGCCAATTCCCCTTTGTGCCCAGCTTTTACCTTGCCGGGAGTTAGGAGGTTGTGTTTATGCATAAATCCTAGATGCGCTGGCAGCTAAAATGGGTTGCATTTCATCCATCTCCAGTTACAATCGACCATTTGCTTGTTGGGGAGAGAACTCAAACCAAGGGAGTTGAAAGCAGAAAGACCTCTCTGCTACAGCAGGTCAGCTCGGGAGGGCTGTAGCCAGCAGGGAGCTCTCCCGCAGGGATGCACACCCCAGGCAAAGGACTTGCTCGCTTTTCAAACTTCACAGCCTGAAGCGCAGCAGTATTCCTGGTAGCTCTGTGGCAGATGTTTCCATAACAAGTTAGGAGGTTAACCGGCTCAGATAGACCACAGCACTGTCAAATCCGTAATATGCACCTTGTCCCGGCTCTCGGACGCCCACACAGCCTCCCAGTTTTCCGGGTCTGCCTGCAGGGTCTATATGGCACAGCACATACCATGTTGCTGTGGGCTGTTTGCAGCACCCTGCGATCAACTTTTGGAAATGGTTTTCCAAAAGTTAAGAGTTGCCCGGAGCTGGGTTATGGCATATCACGGCTCTGACAGCAAACGTAATGCTCAAACTTACAGCACCATCCGAAGGCGCCAGCGGCTCCGCAGCGCTGGGCTGGGAGCGCTGAGGCCAGAGGCCAGACCCAAAAGCCACAGGAGAAGCCCAAGGGAGGAGTGCAGGGAGCTGCCACCCTGGGAGGGGCTGGGGCCTGGCCGGCACTACCCAGCACTAATGGCTCCAGCCCAGGGGCAAAGCGGAGCAAAACCCCCCGGGGAAACGGAGCAGTTTCCTTTCACACAGCTATTGCATCTGGGTTTTCAATTGTTGGGACACAACTGGTTTCTGGAGAGGTGAAGCCAAAAACACAAGGAAGGACACCTGAAGCCTGAAGGTACCTGGAGCCAAGTCTGATAAGGTCAAGGGTAATGTAACAAGGATTACTCTTTGCTGCCGTCCCCAGTGCCATACACTGGCTGGACTAGAGGCTTTTGCCGAAGTGCAGCTCTCAAGGGCATCTTTCGGATGAAATAAAACCTCCAAAACAACGGATCCTTGCCAACCCCTATCACACCTCCTGCCGGCGTTAGCAGGAATTTTTACCCTCACAAGGCAGCAGGCCCAGATGAAAAGAAATCTCCGAGTTCCACCACTTGCAATTACAACCCAAGACATTTCAATGACATGCAAGGAATTTAGGGCAGGCTCTGCGATTTGAAATAACAGCCCTTATGACTCCCTGCATCAACCTCTGACAGTGCTGCTGCATAAGTCGTGACACTGAGCTGCTGACTTTCCCTCCCTGCTTTTAGAAGGCCAACAAAACCAGTGACTGGGAGGCAGCATCTTCCCACAGCTTCACCAGTATTGTCCCTGTGCTACAGCCCGACTCCCTGTCCTGGGAGGCAGGACCGGCAGCGTTACGGTTCCACCCAGCCAGCCAGTGACAGCACTATTATGTAGGATGGTTGGGGTTTTTTCATCCTTCCAAGGTTTTAAGTGTTTTAAAACAATACTTTTGTCAAAGTGATATCTTTTTAATGACCTTTACATTTCAAAGGTCCTGTTGAGTTCATGCCAGCAGTGTATTTAGGAAAATTTCTGGGAAAACGGTCCTTCAAAATCATTTGAACAAAAAGCAAATTAGTAACTAGTGTGTGCCAGTGTTTGGAGTGTCTCTCAAAGTCAGATACATCCATGACCCTGAGACAGCTTTGGACTTTTTATCCAATTACACCATTTCATTGGATGAGAACTCTATGATCGTTTTATTAGAGTGGAGAATAGTGCCATAATTGCAAGCACAGGCAGTTCAGTTTGCAAGTCATTCTGTTAAACACAGACAAGGTAGAAATTTTCTAACTGTAAAGGTACAAGACAGCATATGAATATACTATCATTTGAATCAGCTGGCCTGAGGTCACTGTCACGTCACTCCACGTTAAATGTAATATCCCTTTATGCCATTTGTGGTCAGAGCCAGGGACGTGATGAGAGATCATGTAATTATTCGTATGTAATATCCATGTGAATGCTAACAGAGCTTAATCAGTCTTAATCACATTTTGAATCTGGCAAGTATTTTGAAAAAATAATTATATTATCATAAAACTCATTCTATTAGGATAAATAATATAATAAATAATTATAATCAAATTACTTTAAGACTATATGCTGGTTCTAAGTGTATCTAATAGTCACTGTAAAGTTTTTCAAATATTTTAGATTTAGAGATTACACTTTTACAAAACATTTATAAAACATTAGTCTTTAGATAGTTTTCCTTGTGTCTAAATGAACGGTAAAACTATGTATGTTCAATACTTTTAAACTAGATTCAGATACTTTTAAACTATGTTCAGCTGCTGTACCCATGCAAAACTGCTTCAAAATTTGTTATATAAATGCAGTGTCATCTGTCACTCACTGACACCAAGTGACCTGGAGCTATGAATGATGCAGGACTAATGACAATTTTTTCCCCAATATCTTTGGCAAAATAGTCTTCGCATTCAGTTGGTAGTTTTGGGTCAATAAAGACTACTGGGTTCATCCTTAAATCACAGTGATGCATCATGTTGCATCAGAGCAATCCACCAGCTAGATGATCTAATTAATGACAAAGTGATAGGGAATGACCTGGAATCCATCATTCCATCCCTGGACCCATTTCGATATATTGTCTCAGAGATTTCTGGGCTCGCAGCCCTGAGGAATACAGTGACATGATCTACACGCCATGCTATGTCAGATGCTGGGGGATGTTTGAGGAGCACACGACTAGCTTGAAATATTTCCAAGAGAGTATCTTGGAGGTTACAGAGTGCACGCTGACGAACAGAGCCTTAGCACAGCCACATAACCCCACCAGCATCCTGAGTCAGGCTGAAGCCTGGTGGCCATGAAGAGGAAAAGGTAGGAGAGACTTATTCCCTTTTTAAATACCAGCTCTCTTCCAACGCAGAGACACAATCCTACAAGAGCATATGAGCATGCCAAGGCCAGGCTTTCTCACTTGAGCTGGAGATGGCATCCTCAGAGTTGGTAAGAGGAGGGCAGGAGCCAGCAACTGGTGGTGGGTCCCCACACAACCCTCCTCCTGCCCCTCAGCCCAGGTCTCTCAAACAGCCACCGAGTCAGAAGGGACACTGCAAGGGCGAGTTCTCCTTACCTTTAGCTCCTGCATGGTGAATTCTTTGCCATGCTCCTTGGCACTGTTTATTATGAAATCCAGAGCATCGCTGTGATCTTCTGGGTTGTTTCTCTGCAGTTTTTCCTGTATAGCTTTCTCCATAAACTCATGTAGCATGTCCCGTGCTTTGATTCCCTGCAGGAGGCAGACACAGTTCAGGAGAGCTGTAGGAACCGCCCCACCTTCCAGAGAGACCGGGGGACCCCAAGTGTGGCAATCCTTAATCCCAGGATCTGTAACAGCAAGAATTGTTTACATCTGTTGCCCAGCCCCAGAGCCTTGCAAGAGGCAGCAGTTTAGGGGGAAATGCTGTAAATTCTGTTGCCTTGCTGTTGTGAATCAAATATGACAAGTCCTAAGAAACACTCTGAGAGAAAAAGACAGCAGTAAACCCACGGTATGGAATCCAGAGGCATCTGCGCTGAACAAACCCACGGTCCTGTCAGGTCCAAAAGCAGCTTGCCCAAAGGGACAAGATGAGGTAACTTAATAAAACTGAGTCCAAGCGGCAAGGCACACCTGAGTCAGGAACAAATGAGTGGCTTTACCAGAGTACAGTAAATAAAGACACATTAATCACACCCAGCTCCTCTCCAGTTGCGTTGCACTCCTGTGCAGCAAAACATTTAGGTAAGATCTCAGCAAAGTCAAGTGATCAGCAATCTCTTTGCAAAGCGGGACGGATGGAGTCACAGAGTATGTGGCTCTGTATCAAGATGCCTCCTGCAAAAGCCAGAAGGACTAGAGATTTGTGACAAAAACTGGCCATGACCAGCTATTGGGAAGCAGATACAAAAGCTGAGATTTGAGGTGGGAAGGATTAGCCAAAGGAAACGAGGCAGGGACCAAGGGGAAAAACAAGGGGACCTAAACGCCAAGTTGAAGAGGTTGGTCTGGGGCCAGACAGGCTGTGGCTGACCTCAGAGGGGGCAGGGAGGGATAGGATGGGGAGTGAAAGCTCACAGTGGTGACAACCTGCAAAAGCAAACTGGACAGGGAAAACAAGAGCTTTGAACTGGTGGAGAAGAGCAGCAGGGAGGCTGGGGCAGAACTGGGACTGGCTTGGTAAAGTGATCCCGTGGAGCAGAGCACACAGTGGAAATAAAGAGATCGGGCAAGACCTGGCTAAAAGGAGCCGGAGACTTGAGCTGTGGTAAGGATGGAGAACCCAAAGCCAGAGGAGGGAATGCAGACTGAAATGGGAGAGGAGGGGTGGGGCACAGGACCAATACCTAGAGCAGGAGTGTGGGGAGGCAGGCAAAGTGGGGCAGGGCAGCAGGGAAGAAACTGCAGGTTGAAAGAGGCAGAGACTGTCCCTCTGCCATGCTCCTCTCCAGGACTCCTCGCTGTCTCTGTGCTGCTGGGGGACAAGGGACCAAGGACCATAAGAAGGTCTGAAGTCCTGGGCCTGCCCTGAGGTGCACTGGGAGTGCTAACCTGAGGTGCATGAGCTGCCTTTGTGCTCATGCCCACAGACCCCTCTGCCATGGGCTGACATGAGTCCAGGCAGGATGAGATGGGACAGGAACAGGGATGATGGACTAACCATGTGGGGTGAGGGAGGAGAGGAGCCCTGCACTGTACAATGAGCTGGAGCCAGTGCTCGGAGGTGCTGGAAGCCAACCAGGAGCAGGTGAGAAGTGCAGAGAGAAGGGGAGACAGCTGGGGTGGGCAAAACACCAGGCCCTCAGACCTGGAACAGGGTGCTGCAGATGTCCTGGCCCATTGGAAGTGCCCCTTGGCGGGCCTGGGGACAGGGGGTCTGTGCAGCTGGGGCCCAGGCCCCTGCCCCCAGGCAGAGGGAGCGGGGCAGGCGGCAGTACCTTGCGCAGCCCGCTGAAGGGTATGTTGAGGGGCAGGGAGAAGAGGTTCTCCACCAGCTGTTCAAAAGTTTTGGCCAGGTCCTTGAACTGCTTTTCCTCCAGGCGGAGCCCCAGCAGAATCCGAGCTGCAATGCGGAAAGTTAAGGTTTTAGCGGAGGAATAAACTGCGATGGAGCCCGGCTCCATGCACCAGCCCTGCAGCTCCCAGCTCACAACCTTCTGGATCCGCGGCAGGTAGCTCTCCAGGGCAGCGCGGCTGAACACTCTGGCCAGGATCTAGGAGGAGAAGAGGGGGGAACAGAGGCAGGTGGTTAAAGCGGGAGGTCCCACTTGCCACCGAGGCCCAAGCCTGGGCAGGAGGTGGTGCCTTGGGCTGTGTGGCCTGTGGGGCAGTTGGGAGACTCACCTTGCGGCGCTGGCGGTGCATGTCACCGATGGAGCCGAGCAGGGTGTGGGAGCCCAGGATGATCTGGGTGCTCTGGGGCCACTGCGTGCTGACCAGCGTGTGCTCACCCAGCAGAATCTTGCGGATGTTCTCGGCGCCCGTCACCCGCACCACCGGCCGGCCCAGGAGGTGGGTCTTGAAGACGTTTCCGTATCTCTCCCGCCGGGAGCTGTG